TACGTGTTTGATCCCCCATCAGACCTATGTTACGCTCAAAGACAATATGAGACAATGGCTTTGTCAGTGGATCTATGATGTTATCTTTGGATGAAACTCTTTCCACTACTATATCTCCTCATGTCACAATCTCTCTGTTCAGGTGTCGCAATATAAGGAAATCAGCCCCTCGTTGCCCGACAAGACTCTAAAATCTATGATGAACTTCTTCATCCAGACTTCTTCCTTTACTGTCTCTATCGTAGCAATGTACTCTACCTATGTAGTCGAGTTAACAGTAGTATCTTGCTAAGAATTCTTTCAGTATACTATTTCTCTATTCAGGAGGAACACATTCATTGAATTAGACTTGTTATCATCGACATCATACTAGAAACTCAAGTCTGTGTAGCCCTCAACCCTAAGGCTACTTTCTTCATATACCCGTAAAAAATCCTTAGTCCTTCTTAAGTACTTAATGATACACTTTACTATTTTTAGTACTCCAAACTTGGATCCGCTTGATACCTGCTTGTGACACTCAAAGCCTGTGTTATATCAGGTTTGGTACATAGCATAATATACATGATATACCCTATCACTGAGGCATAAGATATCTTATAAATATCTGTTATTTCTTCAAGAGTATCTGTGGACATACTCTTAGAAAGTGATTTCTCATATCTCATCGGTATAAGACATATTTTGAAATTTTTATATCAAACCTTTTGATAATAGTGTCTATGTACTTGGATTTGGACAAGTCAAGCATCATCTTGGATCTATCTCTATATATCCAAATCCCCAAGATATAGGATGCTTCTAAATCCTTCATGGAGAAATGTTTAGATATGCACGCCTTTATTGTGGAGAGCATTCCTACATCATTCCCATTTATTAGGATGTCAATTGCATACAACACCAAAAAGGTGATAACGCTCCCACTTATCTTCCTATACACACAAGACTCATCTTCGTTCTTAACGAAGTCATAAGATCTGATCGCTTCATCAAATCTTATGGTTCAACTTAATCAAATCCTAAGCAATTTGCATACCTTATCTGAGCTTTCTTTGGACACGAGTCACTCAAGTTATATCATATATACCTCTTCATCGAGGTTACTATTGAGAAACGTAGTTTTTACATCCATATATCAAATCTCATAATTATAGTGTGTTGCAATAGTCAATAGAATTCATATGGATTTTAGTATAGCTACGAGTGTGAATATTCCGTCATAGTCAACATCTTGCCTTTGACGATACCCCTTAGCCACTAGTCTTGATTTATAGGTCTCTACATAGATCCACTTACAACCAATGGGTATGATACTCTCGGGTGCATCAACTAGGTTCCAAACCTTGTTGGAATACATGAAATCCATCTTTGAATTCATAGCTTCTTGTCATTTCTTGAAGTCTATACTCGTAATAGCCTCCTCATGGATCTAAAGATCAATATCCTTAACATCCTCTCATCTGATATTATCCACATATCTGTCAGAAGGATGAGATACTCTATCAGACCTATATAAAGTCGAAACTTGTGTGCTAGGTAATGAGATACTAATACTGTCCTAACATCATGTAGATACTAAAAAATTATATTAATATCATATAGATACTGATACCTTAATATTAAAATTAAAATTTTTAATTTAAGTTTTAAGTACTGAAATGCTAATTAAATTTTAAATTTTAAAATTTATATTGATACCCTACATGATACTGTATCAGTATCATGTAGATACTGATACCCTATCATGTAGATACTAATTAAATTTTAATTCTTTATTAAAATTTAAAAATTATATTAGTATCATACTGAAATGCTAATGCTATCCTAATGCTACCCTAACATCATCATTTGGATTGTAGCACCCAGGCCAGATGCGTTTTAAAAAAAATGAGCAAACATCAACTTATATTTGAAATATACATTGAACCCTTAATATATATTTCAAATGTATTCTTAAACCATTAATATATATTTCAAATCTATTCCTAAATGCACCCTTACTCTAATACTTATCATTTTTTTTATTTTTTAGATTATTAATTTTTTTTAACCGACATGTTTTTATTGGTTTTATTTCAAATCAGATTATGGTATCATATTTGGTGACTTCTTAAGTTAGTTAATGAGGAGTCTACGGTAGATAGAATATTTTTAAGGAGAAGGAATACTTCAATCTACAATGCAATAAACTCATTCAATAGTCTATCGATTAACACCTATTTATCGTACATAAGGAAAATAGTTACAACCATTTTGCAATCATGATAAGTATCCACTCATCTTCTTTTGCCGCTCTTCCGTCGTCCATTATTTGCATGAACAGTTTTGCATCAGTCTTATAAAATTTCCCCTTTGTGGACACGAAAAGCCAATTTTATTCTTCTTCGCTGCTATTTTCTTTTAGGGTCGTGGAAAATTCCACCCTTGTGTTTATCCCCTATTTAACCTTCAGGAACAAATTGGTTCAAAAATGACTTAAGCCTGATGGAGGAGGAGGAGCGTAGGAAGGGAAGGAGGCAGCAGAGCTGCTTGTTTCGTGTTACTTTCTCTCACCCATCGCTTTCTTTGGTACGTGTCTGTTTGGGTTTGGCTTCTTCTTCTTCTCTGGCCGTCAAGCTTGTCAGATTACAAGGTTTCTTGTTAGATCCCGATCAATCAAAAGGATTGATCCTCAATGAGCTCCTACTTTTTCCTATCCATTAGTCTTGCTTGCGAAGGCAAATTTGAACCGGCAATATGTTGCTAATGGCATTGCAGGATTATTATATGGGTAATACCGCGTTCATGACGTTATCGGTTGATCACAGGATAAGAGATTTATTTAACTTTTTGATTTGATCGGTGCTATGATAAGGATAATAATGGCGACAAAACTCGGACTGATGTCAGCTGCCCCAGATGACGCCTCACACCTCGATTGACTCGATAGCATCTGGTCAAACGAATCGAAACGTCGGTCGAGGCGCATTAACGACCTGCTCATGCTAGGCCCTCTACACTACGCCAACGTCAGTGTCAGACGCTATTAGGAGTACGAGCCTGCCCCTTGCAAGCGGGCACAGTAAGCTTCCCTATAAATACCCTTGCATGCTAAACGGAAAAAGGGGGGAGAAAGACACACACAAAACAGACCTCTTCGCATCATTTGACTTGATCGTCGGAGGGATCGGGTCGAGTTCTGACCCGACCTGTGTGCAAGTACCAAGACCGAGCCACTTCTTCGCAAACGTCGTGGAGAGGGATCCTTCCTCGCGGGACGTCCCGATGAGCCCGGACGCTGCTCGATCTGCTCTGCCACCCCCGTCGGCAATCCTGAGAGACCTTCGACAGGATCCCCGCCATTCAGACCCGAAACGAGCTATGTCGGTTTTGAGATCACAGCATAAAGTTATTTATACGAACCTACGATGTTAAACACTCCAGCCATATAATCTGAACGACTTCGACGGTCGGACAGATCATCATAATCCGTTCCATATAGACAATGCGCGGTGGCGAGAAACAATTCCCGAGTCGGCGCTTCACTAACCACGTCACGTGTCTCCCGGCTCGGCGTTCTGTCAGCACGCCTCCACCCCTACACCGTCTCCCGCTTCCCGATACCCGCCGAGCCCGCTGCCGCAGCCTGGCTCCGCAATAGAGAGCTACGAGTCGTCGTAGTCGTCAGCGGCGAGCCAACGCCCAGCACGTGGGTGCCATCTCGCCGCCTCGGACGGTGGTCACGTCCTGCCACCTCGACGAGGTGAGAGAGTTGGAAATGGGGTTGGGTGGCGCACGTAAATGCGGCCTTTCCCGTCCCCGGTCGGTTGTCCCAAAGGAATGAAGACGGTCAATTAATGGCCAGCTGCTCGTCTGGTCCTCCACGTGACCTGGGTCCCTTCCTCGGTAGGTGGTGGAGCCCAAAGCTACGGACTGACATCGCTGGGGACTTCACCTGCAACTCCCAAGAAGGCTGAGGCGGTATGGTGCCTTTATGTGGTATCATACCTTTCTAAATCTCAGTTTTCTTATTGAAAGTGGGAGATGACCAAAACGTACATACTGGCATTATAACTCGTAACTATCAAAGATAAAAGAAAAAAAGTAATGAAATGAAATCCCATGACAACATGTCATTTCGTACTCATGTCTAAGCCATCTGTCCTGATAGACCCACAAGTTAGTATCCAATCTGTCGCCTTCTCAGTTGTGGAGCAATGACCGGTTCAGAATACGAATGATCGAAGAAACATGGTGACTAAGACGAGAGTTTTCCTCTACCTGAGCGGAAGTTAGGAGATGGGACTATTGAAAGGCTCTGCATGCAGAGGTATTCTCATATCGATGTCACCATCCCCTTTTCACAAAGTCGACTTGTCAGTTTGATTGGGTTGTGAGAGGGGCTGACGACACCGACAACGGAAGTAGAGAGATCAACAATGCAATAATGCCTCTTCCGTACCAAAATTCTCGACGTCACCGTCGGCCTTCTCACAGACTCGATCCGTAGACTGTCGTCGACGATCCTCCTTCCGCTTCTCGTATCTCGATCATCTGTTCGTCCGCAAAAATATCTCCATGTTGAGTACTGAAACCCTCGAGCTTTGATTTCCCCGTACGCACCGGAGAGCAGAGCGTCCCTAACTCTGCTCACCAACCATCTGACATTGCTGCATAAACCTACAAGAGCAGCAAGCTGTTAGCTGCATGCATTAAGGCATAACGCTACACAACAATTAATTATATCTAATAAATAAATGTTGAACTTCTTAAATTTCCCTATACAGACATCATTTTTCTCTTTTCGTGTTTTTATCTACTGCTACATAAGCCAATATTCCTTCATTATTTAAGATTCTGTCATTGATAGTCTCACCTTGCGATGTGCGGCCGAATAAATTTGCCCAGTAAATGCGCTTCAATTACGAGCACCAACGATCACCAACTGTCTTTATTGCACCCTAGAAGACACACGTGTCACTCACATGCTCTGCTGTTTCGATTCTTTATACCCATCCCGCAGCCACCGTTCTCGCTCACTTCCAGCTTCCTCATCCCCATGGCAGCTTGCAGAGAGACATGGCTTTCCCTCTGCCTCTTGGCTCTCCATCTTGCCCTTTCTCTCCGTGCCGTCCCAACCAACAAGCCTCCTCCCAAAACGTACATCGTCCATGTGGCCAAATCCGAGAAGCCCGACTCCTTCGCCACCCACGTCGATTGGTATCTCTCCACCATCAACTCGGTGGCCGCAACTTCTAGCGAGTTGGATGCGTCGACGGAAGCAGATGACCCAGCTGATCGGATCGTCTACAGCTACGAGACCGCCTTCCATGGCTTCGCCACGAAGCTCGGCGCCGACGAGGCGGAGCGGCTGGAGAGTGTTCCCGGCGTGCTCGCCGTCCTCCCGGAGACTGTCTACCGGCTTCACACGACCAGAAGCCCGGAGTTCCTGGGCATCGGCCCTGAGGACAGCAGCAACATCTTCACCACGGCGGCGTCCGCCAACCACGACGTGTTCGTCGGGGTGCTCGACACTGGAATATGGCCTGAGAGCCCGAGCTTCAGCGACAAAGGCATGCCGGCCGTCCCTGCGCGGTGGAAAGGCGCATGCGAGGCCGGCCGGAACTTCACCCACAGCAACTGTAACAGAAAGATCGTCGGCGCCAGGATATTCCACCGGGGTTACGAGGCCTCGGCGGGTGCCATCGACGAGAAGAGCGAGCTCAAGTCCCCAAGGGATCAAGACGGGCATGGGACGCACACCGCCGCTACAGTCGCAGGCTCGCCGGTGCGGGGAGCGAACCTCTTCGGCTACGCCACTGGCACCGCTCAAGGTATGGCGCCCCATGCGCGGGTCGCGGTCTACAAGGTCTGCTGGACCGGTGGGTGCTTCAGCTCCGACATCCTGGCGGCGGTGGACCGTGCGGTGGCCGATGGGGTGGACGTCCTCTCCATCTCCCTCGGCGGCGGGGTCTCCGCCTACTACCGTGACAGCCTGTCAATTGCTACGTTCGGTGCCATGGAGATGGGGGTGTTCGTCGCCTGTTCTGCGGGCAACGCCGGCCCTGACCCGATCAGCCTGACCAATGTGTCGCCCTGGATCACCACCGTTGGCGCGAGCACGATGGACCGAGATTTCCCGGCCAAAGTCGGGCTAGGGAACGGGATGAACATAACCGGCGTCTCCCTCTACAAGGGTCGTCAGAACCTGTTGCCCTCGCAGCAGTATCCTCTGGTTTACATGGGCGGCAACTTGAGCAGCCCCAACCCGAAGTCACTGTGCCTGGAAGGGTCTCTGGATCCTCGCGTCGTCGCCGGGAAGGTCGTGATGTGCGACAGGGGAGTCAGCCCCCGCGTGCAGAAGGGCCAGGTGGTGAAGGATGCAGGAGGAATCGGCATGATCCTGGCCAACACCGCCGCCAACGGCGACGAGCTCGTCGCCGACAGCCACCTCTTACCGGCTGTCGCGGTGGGAGAGACTGCCGGAGAGGAGATCAAGCGGTACAGCAAGGCCAGCGCTCGCCCGACCGCAACGCTCACCTTCGAGGGGACCAAAGTGGGAATCCGCCCGTCTCCGGTGGTGGCGGCGTTCTCCTCCAGGGGGCCTAACATCCTCACGCTGGAGATCCTCAAGCCCGACGTGGTAGCCCCCGGCGTGAACATTCTGGCGGCGTGGACCGGCGACGCAAGCCCCTCAAGCTTGGCGGCGGATCACCGGCGTGTCGGCTTCAACATTTTGTCCGGGACCTCCATGTCATGCCCACATGTCGGAGGGGTAGCCGCGCTGCTCAAGGCCAGCCATCCTGACTGGAGCCCAGCCGCCATAAAATCTGCTCTGATGACCACCGCCTACGTCCATGACAACACTCACCATCCACTGAAAGATGCGGCGACGGGCCAACCGTCGAGCACCTACGATCACGGCGCCGGCCACATACAACCTCTGAAAGCTGTAGATCCAGGACTCGTCTACGACATAACTCCAGAAGAATACTTCGAGTTTCTCTGCAGTCAGAAGCTGACATCAGTGCAGATGAAGGTCTTCACCAAGCATTCCAACAGAACTTGTAAGCATTCATTGGCTTCTCCAGGAGACCTGAACTACCCGGCCATGTCCGCCGTGTTCCGGCAGCAACCAGCCACCACGCTGACGCTGCAGAGGGTCGTGACGAACGTTGGCCCCCCGGTTTCAACTTACAGCGTCAAGGTTAGCGCATTCAAGGGCGCAGATGTGGTGGTCGAACCCAAGACGCTCCACTTCACGCGTCACAACCAGAAGCTATCTTACAAGGTGACCTTCAGAACCATTTCGCCTCAGTCATCACCTGAGTTCGGAGGCTTGACATGGAGCGACGGGACCCATGTAGTCCGAAGCCCGGTCGTGGTGACATGGCTGCAATCGCTATAACCTTGTGCTGGTGTCAGTGGGAAGAAAGCTTGACCGGAATCATGATGATATGTCTCTCGCTGTAGGCCTGAAAGTCCTTCCTACAAAGACATGAGATTGCTCGAGTGTGGAAAATATCGTATGATTGTATCGAGAATCATAAGGTAGCGAGCTTGCTGCATGCAGAGTGTTTCCATCACAATAAATGATGCTTCATCGAAATGTTTGCTCTTATGAATTGGATTGCTTTTCGTCAGATTCATACCGGCGTAGACAATAAATTTCTTTCAAGAAAAAGAAGATGTAACAAAGAAAACTTACCGGATTGCAGATGGCATAAACTTTATGCAGGATACTGACTTCTCATTACGTCTGCAGCTGCTATACTGCTCGTTCATAAACTATGAGTGAACGATCAAACCATGTCAGCATTCTTCGCAATATCTTTGGCATCTAACTCGGCGGAGCTTTTAAGGTTCCCAGATCACTAATAAATTGCCCAGTAGGTCATACTACTAAAATTCGAAGACAACATGGAAAAATAAATCAAATTGTTCAAAGGATTCATTGCATTACATGGTATCATTTTAATAAACTTTAGTAAATTGCTTAGACACTCTGCCTCTACCTATTCCAACATATATGAATATGGTTACAGTATTTGTAATAAATGCATATGCAGGGCAAATATTCATATATGTATATATATATATTTGGATAAGAGGACAGACAGAAATTCAAATAGTGTAAAGAAGAGAAAGCATTATACTCTTCGAAAGAAAAAGTTAACGACCACTTTCTCTTTAGCTTAATTTAGATATGTAAATATAATTTTATTTGTATGTGGATTAGATAAGATCATATCCATATCCCCATCCACGAATTTTCAAGAAGCAAAAAGACATTCCTTACATGGTACATGTTAGATATACATTTGCACACCAATTAACTTGGATATGACATAGAGTTTGATAAACGTTTTCTAACATAATTTCACACCTATTCGCTAAAGCATAAATAAATAAATTTAGTTAAGATAGTCTGAATGTATTTAAAGAAGACTTGATGATACAAACAAAGATAAAGGAAGATCTGTATAAACTTTCTTAGAAATGATAAAAAGATATGCATTTGCTCTTAATTTGACTATATTGTCCTACATAAGTTTAATGATCAGAAAAAAAATCTATGGATGTAAATTTAAATAGTTGAGACATTATAACTTGTTACTTTTACCATACATCACAGTGTGTCTCCATATCAACGAAGGCCAGATGCCATATTTCACAAAGGAAACAGCTTTATGGCTTTGGTTTGTCTCCTTTAGTTGTTCTCCAAAAACAGTAAAAGTATGGACACTAAAGCTTTAAAAGTTGCAAAAAGAAAAGCACAAGTTATTAATCCGTCATTCATCTTCCTGTCTTCAGTCTCTTTTTCCCTGTGTCAGCAGAAGGGAACTGGCTACAGTGGGCCATAGGCTAATCCACTCCTACTTTGGAAGTGTCATAGTACGCGGCAATTAGGCCTTGTCAACACAAATGGGTCTGGAAAACATAATACTGACTTATCACAGATGAAAATGGAACATCTAAATTAAAGGCACCCTTAACCACGTCTGCAGTTATCACGACTCATTTATCTATGTTCATAGTACCATAGTACCCCCAATGAAAGGCTTCTCGGTGCTGCCCTCCAACACTTGGAAAGAGACTCACAGGTGGCCACTACCTATTAATGCAATTTAACTAGAAGCCAATTGAGATATTATATCTCAGGTTAATTATAGATTATTTTCTGTAATTAGTTATTTTTAATATTTTAATATTTATATTTTTAAAAATTATATTAAGATCTATATACTTACATAAGTAAAATATTTAATTTTATTTCTCCTCAAGTCATCAATTTATTAGGATATTTTTTCTTAATTTTTGAATAATATTTATTGAGTCTGTTTAGTCCAATTGTTTATTGAGTCGATTTGGTTCAGTTAGAATCAAGTATAGATTTATTTAATATTTATTTAATATTTATTTATTATTAGAGTTCAAGTCCTGATGGACTCTGGGTGAAACTCTATAAATAAGGATGTAACTGTTTCTTTTCAGTAATCAATGAAAAATACTATTCTGTCTTTTGACAAACCCTAGGAGGCCGATCCCCTCGAAGCGATCAAGGAGGGCAGATCCCCTCGAAGTGATCAAGGAGGGCCGATCCCCTTGAAGCGATTAAGGAGGGTCGATCCCCTCGAAGCGATCAAGGAGGTCGATCCCCTCGAAGCGATCATTATCATCCCCATTTCTCCCCTTTCTTCTACAATAAAATCATAGGGTCTTACCAATTGATATCAGAGTCTACGATAAGACTTTTAGGGTCTTACCACAATTCTACTAATGAAAATACTTCATATGCTCAGTGATAAATCCTATGATATCTTCATTTTCATAAGAGCTCAATATAACTTTTGAAACCAGATCGAAATACTAAAAGTAATTAATTACAGAAGTAATATGTAATTAGCTCTCATATCTCTCGTTATAAATTTGGGTGATTGACTAACACAATAAATTAAGATACGGACAACAATATATTTTCTTTTATACAGCTTAGCTTTTAAAGTAACAAATCATTCAAAAAAAGATTAAATTTATATCTATATATTGGTTGGTTGTGACGTATAAGATTCATATATCAAAGATTGAAAATTCGAAACTTTATCCAACATATTTTTGAAGATAAATCACATAATATATCTTTTAAGAAATATTCTATCGGACAGTTAAGCCATCATATATTAAACATGGTATCAACTTAAGCTTTTGGAATGGTATCGTAGTAGAAGATCCTATTCTCTACTCCATCTCAATGTGATCTTTCCAAATAAATCATCACCATCAATTCAAGCGACCATATACATAAAATGCCTCTCCCTTTACTATTGATCAAATGAAACCCAGCTTCTTGTTGGTTATACATCAAGATCCACAAAAGTGGAACTATATAAGATATGCTTCCAAACATTATTTACAAAGTTTTTGAAGCAAGACTCATTCAGGTGCCATTATTTCCTGTATATTAACTCTGAGTTCTTGCTAATCGCAGGGAGGCTTGACCATCTCAAGTTCTAAGAAGACATTCCTAAAAATTTCCATATGGAACTGGCCCTGAGCCAGGGACATGGAACTTGACCCAATCTAGGGCTTATGACTGGCAGAATGCCTTCACAAGGCTTGGTCCAATTATGAAGAACAACAAGATGGGTCAACATCATTGTGATTCCCGTTTCCATTATTCTATTTGATTTTGTTTTGTTGTCACTTATTTCACAACAATTTACATGCCGAAGCACTAAAGATCAACTATAAACTGCAAAAAGTAATCAAATTCAAATGCTGAAGAGGAACTGCAATCTGAATGTGAAAGCACATTTAAATTTGTCAAGAATCTTCTATTTCTTACTTCAATATGCACAAAAACGACAAGAAGACATACCGAAATGGCAAGTTTTGGCATACCAATGTCCGACCTTGCTTGATTGCCTTCTCTCTCTTATTATCAACCACCTTGGTTGCGTTCCACTATGGTTCTTTCTTGGCAGTTTGATCTCATGTAGAAAAAGGAAGAACTATATTTCTTTCATCCCATGGTAATGAAACGAGAGTAAATCCACTCGCCAGATGCTCAAGTAGAAGCACATCATCGTACTGAAGCAAGATGTCCAGAACCGACAGTAGACTAACTCGCTTTGGTACGAAAAGGGAACGAAAATGGGATTTGGGTCGATAAGAACGGGAGGCTAACCTGGTGGATAGGGTTCCTGCTCGGTCGCCCCGAAATCCATGTGAGGGCAGAGCGGCTGCGGCGTGCTTCGAAGGCCGGACGAAGAACGAGACGCCGGGTTTGGGTCGTAATCGGGGAAGAAGGAGAAGACAGAGTAACTGCTGCGATCGCAAACTCATGGTTCGATGATGTGCCGTTGCTGCTAGTCGTTAATTACAGAGGCATATTTGTGAATTTTATGTTATATATATATATATATATATATATATATATATATATATATATATATATATATATATATATATACAGCATTAAAACAAGGGTATCAAATATTGTGGGTTTGCCTTTAATTAATGGTTTTCAGCTTTCTATATAATTTTTATTCCCTCAAATATTGTGGGTATGGATCATCTCTTCCATCGTCATACTAATTTTTTATTATAATTTTAATTTTATTAAATATTTTAAAAAATATTCAGATTAATTAATGCATTATTAAACAAGTAATGAATCTTAAGTTCAAATTCACATGCTAACGTTATGTATATTATTTAACATCATAAAAATATATTTTTTAAATTTATCATTTAATGTAAAAATAATATATTTTAATTTCTAAAAATAAAAAACATGTCAGGTGTGGTATCTTGTGACTTGAGAGGCACAAATCCTATACTATTATGTTTGTAAATAATCCCTACAACTTTTAATCATGGTAGGCTAATTGCACGAATATCAAAGCAGCACGGACGTCGAGCTCGTGTAGAAATGAATGTAACGCACGGTGGAGGCTTGTCGGTTGGAGTGCACATGCATCGACCATGGTCTCCCGGCTCCCGCTATCCTCTCTGTCCATCAGCTCAACGGCAGAAACGTAGTCTTAGCCCACACCTCCGCTCCATCGCCAATCGCGCGATTTCAATCAAGCCATTTCTCTTCACGTCTTTTCCTATCGTTCGTTACTTTTCTTCTTCATCTCGATCCTAAAATTATCAGGAACCGTCTGACTTCTCTTCTTCATCCTCTTCTCGATCTCTGGATCTGGAACAGACACCAATGGAACAGAACAGAGCGTGGTGAAAGGGGCTGAGCGAAACAGAGGAAGGAACGAATCCATGGACAATCCATACCAGTACCCTCATCCTTACGGCTATCAGAATCCTCCTCCCTCTGCTCTGGCCAACCCCAGCCCCTATGAAGCGCCGCACCAGTCTCCCCACCCTCCCTATCTCTACACTTACAACTCCTTCCCATCCCCACCCCCTCCAAACCCGTCGCTCCAATTCACCCGCTCCGGCCCCATCCAGTATCCGCCTCCGCCGTCCTACCATCCTCCTGCCGCCCCCTTCGTCGCTCCGACGAACTACTCCTACGATCCCTACTCCTTTCCTCCACGCAACCCCCACCCCTACATCTATCCCTACACGATCCCCTACGAACCCGCCAAGTACGACGTCATCTCTGCTCAGTTACCCGTTTCCTCGTCGTCGTCGTCGTCGATCTATCCGATCAACAATCACCTCGCTAACGGCCGCCTCGCCGATCAAACCCTGTCCCCAGATTCGTCGCATCACCGGTCGGCGATTCACGATTACCAGCGCCAGTCCTTCTCCGGGAGCTTGTCGTCCGTTACGCCGTTCGCCACACCGCCGGCTACCCCTTCCCGTGAATCGCAGCATGGGGCGATCGTGCCGTTCGCTGGATCGCCGTCTTCGAGGGGCCGGGCGTCGCTCAAGGTGCTGCTGCTTCATGGAAGCCTCGACATCTGGGCGTACGAGGCCAAGAACCTCCCCAACATGGATTTGTTCCACAAGACGTTGGGGGACATGTTTGGCCCGCGGATAACGGGCACCATAAGCGGCAAGGTGGAGCATGTGACTTCGATAACCAGCGACCCTTACGTGACCATCAACGTGTGTGATGCGGCAATCGGCAGGACATACGTGGTGAGCAACAGCGAGAACCCCGTTTGGATGCAGCATTTCAATGTTCCGGTAGCACACCATGCGGCCGAAGTGGAGTTCTTGGTCAAGGACAGTGACGTACTCGGAGCACAGCTTATCGGTTCTGTTTCGATCCCAACGATGCAGATTTACTCTGGCGAGAAGGTGGAAGGGACTTACCCAATTCTGTGTCCTAATGGAAAGCAATGCAAACCTGGTGCTGTCTTAAGGTTGTCGATACAGTATATTCCAATGGAGAGGCTTAGCATTTACCATCATGGAGTTGGCGCCGGTCCTGACCACTGTGGCGTGCCCGGTACCTATTTCCCTCTCAGGAAAGGTGGGAAGGTCACACTTTATCAAGATGCTCATGTTCCTGATGGTTATCTCCCGGACCTGATGCTGGGAAATGGGATGTATTACGAGCATGGGAAGTGTTGGCATGACATTTGTGATTCAATAATCAATGCTCGCCGTCTGATATACATCATCGGGTGGTCAGTTTTCCACACCGTTCGTCTGGTAAGGGATTCTGGTAATTCGTCTTCTCCTATCCTAGGTGATCTCCTGAAATCAAAGTCGCAGGAAGGCGTGAGAGTGTTGCTTCTTGTATGGGACGATCCGACGTCCAGGAACATCCTGGGTTATCGAACAGTAAGGATCCTTTTTATTTCCCGTTATTGCTTTGCTTTTAGAAGAATTCCAATGCTTTATTAATGTTTGCGATTGATATCCCCAGATTAATTTGTGGACAATCTATACTCATATTGAGTACTGAAAATGATAAGGTTTTGCAGTTGATTAACATCCATATCCTTCCATACACTGGAGTATTTTATCATCGTAACTCTTGCATCTTCCTTGAGGAATTTGTCTGCAATATGCATTTGTAAGTCAGATACGTCAGGCTCTTCGATGTATCATAAATCTTATAGCTGTAGAGTTCAAAGATTGATAGGGCATTTGAACCACTTTGAAGAAATGCTACCAAGTGCTGTTCTTTGTAGACTATTAACTTTTTATTACTAACTAAAAAGGGTAACTCTGTAAGTTTACAACATAAATGCAATCATCCTAATAACTTGTCCTATAATCTTTATTCTGTTTGGCAATTTAATATATTTCTACAACTACAGTTTTTGTCCTATTGTGTCATCTATCTTCTCCTTGTTTTCTCACCGAATCCAACCTTTAAATATGCATATAATTTCTACATTTATTTCCTTGCCAATAAGGCTCCATCTTTGTTTGTTATTGTATTCAGTTTAATGTTGATTCATATTGATATTATTCTTTCAGTTACCAACACAATTGTTATTAATATTACATATAAAATCATGTCTCTAAATCCTTGTACAAATGTTCTCTCTTAAGGAGTCAAATTCGTGATGGATAGAGAAAATTTCTATATGGATAACGTTAAAACTCAGCAGATCAAGAATCCTATATGGCTAGGAAAATTTATGTGGCTTGCATTTGTGAAGCTAATGTAGACATAAGCATTGGGATGACATTTTTTTCTTTTAACTTTTTAAAAATCTCATCTTTGTGTTTTAATCAACTGGAACTGCAATCTTATAGTAGTCAAGCATCTCATTCTGATATGTTTATAATGGAATACTATTGTCTATACTGGCTCTATAGGTAGGAAAAGTTCACCTGGTAAAAGTGATGCATGTATTATCAGAATCTTTTGCTATTGGCAGTTTAACTTTTAAACAACTTTTATTATTGAATCTCTTGGGATGGCATGTCATAGAGCCTGAATCTTGTCTTGCTTTCACTAATAGTATTTGATCATTTGGATTCACATCCTCACAAGTCATATATGATACAGGATGGTGTAATGGGAACCCGTGATGAGGAAACTCGTCGTTTTTTCAAGCACTCATCAGTGCAAGTTTTGCTTTGTCCTCGTTCAGCTGGTAAAAGACACAGCTTTGTGAAACAACAGGTGACTACTGTTCAATGATCTATTTTCTTTTTCTTTGCATGTATCATCAAGTCTACTGCTGCTTTCTGTTATGCATGATTTCTGTGCAGCTCCCAAAGCATGTATGTATGCCATGCTGTTTGGCATAGGCCAAAAGTTGACCTGGCCATGGGTTAGAATAGCATGACAAGTGACTACAAGATCTGGCATGAGTCAGCTACAAATATTGTGACACAAATAATTCGTAGAAGATTTATGTGAACTGTGTGTGACAAATATTGCATTTATCATACAAATTATATAGGATGAACATTGTGGTCTCTGTGAACCATAGTAAGAACTAAGAATATACTAATTTTGATTTCCCTGTATCAGGAAACGGGAACCATCTACACTCATCATCAGAAACAAGTGGTTGTGGATGCTGATGCTGGTAATAACACAAGAAAGATAATAGCTTTTGTTGGAGGGCTTGATTTATGTGGTGGGCGGTATGACAATCCAAAACACCCTTTGTTTAGGACACTACAAACGCTGCATAAGGATGACTATCACAATCCCAATTTTGTGGTAACCAATCGACATTCTTTATGTTAATTTTGTAAATTTCAATTTTCTGCTTGGTGTGCTGCTCTCATGGCTTGATTTTTTCTTGTATTATTTTGTATGATTAACAAATTTTTTTGTGAATTTATGGTATGTGGGCAGAATTCAATGTATACAAAAAAGGTAGCAGTTTAAAGAATTAAAAAAGAAAGAAAACAATTCTCTTTTGAGACTCATAGATAGTTCTAGTCATTCAATTTGTTGCAGATAGCCACAAGTCCAATAAATAATTTGTAATTCTTTTAACTAAACAATGACATGTTAATCTCAGTTATACATCATATAAGTTTCCCACCAAAATGTTGCAAAACACAGATTATTCTGTCTTTTCTAGGTTTCTTGCAGCTAAATTCCACAACACCATTTCATATGTGCATGCCCTTTTATGTGATAAAAAGTAACTTGTAGTTTGTGCTACACAAGAAATTTTAGTCACTAAGTGCATTCTAGCATTATGTCCAACAGTTCTTTATCTTATCAAGTTGTTTGTGAATTTTGATAAACCTTAAAGGATCATGGACACTCTATTTTTAAATATTAAAATGGTGTTGCAAGTTCTTTAGAATGCTGATTTGCTTATCTTTCTCTCTGAAATATTGTCATTATAGAAGGTATTGTAATCATCAAAAACACAATCATAATTAGTTTGCTTTTTCTAGATGTATTGACTTGTGCTTCATGTCTGATGGGTTTCATGTTGTCAATAGCAGATAATTTCCCAAACAAGATTTCATTTGTTTTTCTATAGTGAACTCCACCTCTATTCATATATAAAGAATTTAAATAGCTATCCTACATATAGGCTAAATTGAAACTACAACTTCCCTAAGAATATCCTAAATAAACAAGGAATCCATTTAAACAGATCTAATAGGAGTATCCTCTGTCTCAAATAATCCAACATGATACAAAATCAAATCCTTTCTGTAGTTCAAAGTCAGATGACAATATAGTATTAGATGATGGCCTGAAAGTTTTCATATCACTTTCTCATGCAAATTAGCCAGTAAATTAGACATTTTCAAAAGCTGGAAGACACAATAAGCTCTTGATCACACTTGAAATCATGCCTCAATTGGGAGCAAGATATTTTTTACTGTAAGACTGCATTGAACATTTATAAGCTGGGTGTCCTAGTAACTTGTCAGGATATCAACTTGACCCGCAGATTTTTACGAACTCAGAAGCTATATAATATGAAACTTGTTAGTACATTGTTGATCAGGTCTGTTACAACTCAAAAAGACATCTCAGAAACAACACTAGATCTTTATGATAGCAGTCTAAAATTAACATGCAAATCATATCAAAATAAAAGAAAAGTTAGACACAATTTCTGAATTCTGTTGTCATGAAAGTTAAAATTAAAATTATCTAAATTGAATTTTAAGTAGACCTAACCTGCTCCTTGCTTGTAATATATATAGCTCTAGAATCTTGATTTTTTTTGTGTTTCATCAGTTTTTCATGAGTGCGCATCTTTTTTTGCAGAATCAGAAACTTCTGATTTTTTTTTTCGTTTGGCCTTTTTTTTACCCTCTTGTTTCTGTATTTGACCTTGCTTGATGATTTTGTCAACTACAAAATGTGAAGAATTAAACCATGCAATCTGTTTGTCATTGCTTTGTGATGACGTTATAATTAAGTCGTCATAATACTCAGAATATGCTTTGTTCTAACAAACTATTTTTTAGAATTATGATGACAGTGGTCCAAGAGAACCATGGCATGATTTGCATTCTAGAATTGATGGTCCAGCTGCTTATGATGTTCTCAAAAACTTTGAGGAGCGTTGGTTAAAAGCTTCAAAGCACCATGGGATCAAAAAATTGAAGAAATCATCAGATGATGCATTGCTGCATATTGAAAGAATCCCAGATATTATAGGGGTTAATAATTCACTGTACATGAATGATAATGATCCAGAGACTTGGCATGTTCAGGTAGAATTGTGCTAGTTCCTGAAGTTTTTAAAAGAATATTTGTTCAGTGACATTTACATTGTTTTCCTCACTCAAAATTTCAGATTTTCCGATCAATTGATTCAAATTCAGTGAAAGGTTTCCCAAAAGATCCAAGAGATGCCACTAATAAGGTTTCTAAGTGCATAAAATATCTCCATCAATATATAAATTGTTGTTTTCAAATTTGAATACTTACAACATGAAAGCTTTTGTACAACAGAACCTCATTTGTGGGAAGAATGTACTGATTGACATGAGTATACATAGAGCTTATGTCCATGCCATCCGAGCTGCTCAACACTTTATTTACATCGAGAATCAGTACTTCCTGGGTTCATCATTTAATTGGGATTCAAACAAGAACTTAGGTGAGCATAAACATAGAAGATAATCAAATATTTGAACTTTTCAATTTCACATGTCTTGTTTTAGGTAATATTGTCATTTTCATCAATCGTACAATTGCAAGTTGTTCACACCTTTGCTAAGTAGGACATAATTTCTTCTGATATGAAATTCAGAGAATGTGCAGATTCTTATCTATAACTAGTTTCAATTTCTTTTATAGCTTGCATCCATTTTGTGCTATGCTTTTTGCACTTAATTAATGGGATCTCTTGTGATATTTTAATTTTCTCAGTAACTTTATGCATTCTACATAATTATTAAGGATTTTAGAGGTCTTTATTAATCTCAGTTGCAAACAGATTAATGAGAATGAACTATGAAGGGGACTTGATTTTTTAGTTGCAATGCTTCAAGTTATACTTGATAAACAATTAAGATATCAACTAGTGGCTCTGCTGTAGGTTTTTTAAACAAGAGCACACCATTGCTGATGTCAAAGATTTTGATTTTATGATTATAATGACAGTTTATTGATTCAACTTGGTGACGGACGGCAATAGTTTTTCTTGTAATATTATTTTTGTCAGCCATGACTTTTGAAGAAACAATATGGTTTTTGCAAACGAGTCTTCAAATTATCAGTAGCTTAAGCCATGTATTAGAACTTTGAATTTTAAACATAGCCTAATATATAATGTTTCAAGTGTTAGTTTTGTGGCATTGCTTTTCAAGTTTCAGGTTCTGGATGGTGCTTACTGTTGTCATGTTGAAAAAATTGAGTCATATATCATCAAAGCTATGAAAAAAATCTATACTTGTCACACACAACAGTATATACCTTTTTTCATGAAGTACTTAGAAACATATTTGGAGTCTATAGAGAATGTTGAGCTGTATGTGAGAGATGGCTGTGACCCACATTTTTTTTGAAATGGAAATATATTGATGCAAATTAAGAAGAAAACACAGAACAAGCAGCTACACCACTAACTGACTCAAAAGAAAGGAGAAGCACAAGTTCTCCCAAAATTAGCAGCCTTATCAGCCAACCAATTGCTGTCTCTAGGAACAAATTCAATGCAGCTGATCGATGGTCTGTTACAAAACAAAACAACGTCTCTTACAAGAGACCGAAGAAACAAAGGAACTGGAAGCTTTCCTTGGACAGAATGTACCAGGTTCTGGGAATCGGTTCTGATTAGGAGCTGTGACAGATTCAGCTCCTCTGCGTTTTTTAGACCAGCTAATAGAGCTTACGCTTCAGCCATGATAGGGCTTGAAGCTCTGCAAGGGCTGTGGCCCACATTAACTGCTCTGAGTTGAACACAACAGATATCTGGAGTGAGGACTGCTTGATTGCTGATTTAGCTGAAGCCAGAACAATTTATACAAGTTACATAGCTGATATAAAAAGTTTGCCTTTGACAACCCTCAGGAGTTGAGGTTTTCTCGACAAAGTTATTATTTTGATGGGGCTTCCAGGATGGAAAAGGAAAATTATTTCAGTACAAGGAATACTAGCATTCAACCAGCAACAGTGGCTGAAAAGCAAGGATTGATCTGTGACAAAAAGGAGGTGTTTTTTTTTGTTTTTGTTTTCTAGGATTCAATCAAGGGTAGCATTTGAGCTTTTAAGCAAACATCGAAGTTATAAAAAATTAGCAGTCTGGCATGCAGTAGGTTGGTTAAGGTATTAGGATGCTTCGAAGCAGAGGTGGAAAGAAATCTTGAGAATGCTAAGTTCTGATGACAGCAAAAGAGATGTGGAGTCAAAGATTCTAAGATTTTACAGAGGCATAAGTGCATAAGACTATATATGGTAACATGAGTTGTTTCTGACCTTGCTTATATTTGCATGAAATTTAAGAGATGGAGGTTGATGCTGAGTAGTAAAACACATGTGCATAATCCATAGTTAAGAAATATGCTGAAAGCAACATGTTGGGATCAACGTGAGGAAGCATAATGCCTTTTTTTAACAGCCATAAAAATGACTGGTTTTCTCTTGATCAAAATTTGTGTTTTGTGATTTTTATATTTCTAGTAATATACTACCACACCATAGTGGCTTGTATTTTAAATTTCCAGAATTTTGTCTAGAACATGTCAATCTGTGAACAGCATATGTTTGCAGGTTGATATAGCAAGAAACTTATAATCTCTCCGTGAAATTCTGGAGTCTTAAATTAGCAAGTTTTTAAAAGGAGAAAAATAAAATAAATGCGAATAATATGAGATATTTTTTGAAAATATACTGTGGCCTTAGATGATTGGTTGAGATGATCATCATATAATGTGCAGATCTCTCCAGGATTTTGTATGAAAATCTTTGTTTCGTATTTTGACTTCTGAATCATCAACCTTTGAACTTATTTATATATTCTTTTCAGATTATTTTCCAACAAATGTGACATAGGAAAAAATTGAAATATATTTCTATATTTTTAAACTTATCAGATGCTTGCATGTTTTCTAGTATGCTTGGTTTGCCTGCTAGACATTGGAATATCCGAGTTTATTTAACATGTCATGTTTCTTTGCTACCTACTTTTACAGATCCGTTTCTCAATACGATTTTACCATCTTGATTGCCTTGTAAATATTTTCTATATTAATGATTATATATGTGATCTTTAGTTATATTTGCAATGGCCACTATATCCTTTATTGCAGATTTCTAAGAGTATTTTCTTTTTGTAGGTGCCAATAATCTGATACCAATTGAAATTGCCCTTAAAATTGCAAACAAAATTAAAGCAAATGAACGCTTCTCTGCATATATTGTTATTCCCATGTGGCCTGAGGGTAATCCAACTGGTGCTCCTACACAAAGAATTCTTTTTTGGCAGGTTAGCTTTATCTACCTGAATTTGGCTAATGCTTCGTAAAAGATATGAGAAGAGTTTCTTTTTGTGTTAGTGCTATTATTTCGAGCATGCTTTTGGATTTTAGATTGGTTAAAGTTTTCCTTCCATGATAATAATGCTATACATATTTGTTTCTGTGATAAACAATTACCATTATGCACCAGTTTGGTACTTCAAATCCAATTTATCATTATATGAATTTGCTTATTTTCTATGGTTAATGCTTATTTATTAGCTCTTTCTTGATTCTCCATAGATATATCATGTTTCTGCCATTCTTTTAATTGATGACTTTTTATTCCTTAATTTGCTTAATGCATTTATATATTCATTCTTCTGCACATTCAGCGTTTCAATATATTCATTTATTTATTTATTTCTAAAAATTATTTTACATTCATTTATATGATTATTTATTTATTATATATATGGGTCATACAAAATTTTTTATATGATTACATATATATATATATATATATTAGTAATTTAAATAAATATATATATACTTATTTTTGCATAAATATTAAATATGCTAGAAGGGTAAATTTATCACACAATATTTTTAATGAACTTTTGAAATATAATTTTACCAAATAATAATTATGTCAATGTACATTTAAAATATAATTTTTATTCATTGAGTACCAAGTAGCAATTCTATAATTGTACATTTATTGAAAGGTGAAACGGAGTGACGGGTCAATTAGCTCAACATTCATGATATTTGGTATTAGAGTCAGGTTACTATCGAGTTTAATGGGCTAATTGGCTCGTCGTCTTCTGAACTTAAATTACTGATCAATATATTTAAGTTAAAATTGATAATAATACATTAATTATATTCTTATAAGTTAATCTTAGTATTGTGACGTGTGATTAATCTGTTACACTATCCTATTACAACTGAATATTGTCATATTTAACTAAAAAATGCTTTGGGTTACGGTTGATACAATTTCTGTTGATTGCTGCAGAATAAAACTATGCAAATGATGTATGAGACAATATATACAGCCTTGAAGGAAGTCGGTCTTGAGAATATATATGAGCCACAAGATTATTTAAACTTCTTTTGCCTTGGTAATCGGGAAGCTTCAGATCTAAACAGTGCGAGTCAGAATGCAGAAATCTGTCCTCAAGTAATTCCCTGTTTTTAAATCAGAAACTTGCAATAGATGCAATATTCTTGTTCTTCTGTTTGTAACTCTGCAAGCAGGGTTCTATTCATTTTAATGTCAGCATGAACCGATGATCAACAAAACCGTTACCAAGTTGCTGCATCGCCTGTGAAATCTTACATGTTGCTCCCACTCCCCAGTAAATTTTGTTTCTCAACTAGTAAATGACGGGAAGCATTGAGTCCTCTGCAAAGCTGACCTGGTGATGTCGGGATGCATAGAGCTCAATATTTTTCTCGTTGTTGACAGTTGATAAGTGCATGTAAGAGCATTTTTCTTGGTTGCTATAAAAAAAATAACGGTCCTGGTTTCTTCAGGCACTTGCGAAGAAGAATAGACGCTTCATGATCTACGTGCATTCAAAGGGTATGATAGTGGATGATGAATTCGTTATCATGGGATCAGCAAACATCAACCAAAGGTCGTTGGAAGGTACGAGGGATACAGAGATAGCAATGGGCGCATACCAACCCCAGCATACCTGGGCAAGAAAGCTCTCTGGTCCTCGTGGACAGGTAATGACTACAACTCGATCTATCTTGTTTTACTATGACATACCTTTGTTGACAAAATAGACATTCTCCCAATGGGTCATTTGGACATTTGATTTGTCTAGAAGACCCCACAATAACTGTGTTGATTACTGAACATTATTTGCGTTCCATAGGTGTTCCATTTTATGGTTTTCAGCTTTTCTTTTGTGAGCATAGTTTTTTGTGATTCTCTTTCCAACTTCAGAGTCCTGTTCTCATCACAAATGTTTCAGCTATGACTCATCATAGTTAAATCTTTAATACTTGTTGTGGTTCCAGATGAGGCTCTTTCTTCATTCTTGAATTCATAAGATTCTATTTGTTGCAATTGTTTGTTTGGACTCTGATCGAGGATGGATGGATGGATGGCTGGCGAAACATGCAGATTTTTGGTTACAGAATGTCGCTGTGGGCCGAACACATTGGAACCGTCGAGGAGTGTTTTACCTCTCCACACAGCCTCGAATGCATGAGACGGGTTCGTGACCTTGGTCTGCTGAACTGGAAACAATTTGTGGCTGATGATATTACTGAAATGAGGGGCCACCTACTCAAATACCCAGTTGATGTCGACAAGAAAGGCATGGTGAAACCTCTTCCTGGATTTGAAACATTCCCAGATATTGGTGGAAACATCTGCGGGTCATTTTTCGGCATTCAAGAAAATCTTACTATATGAAATTTTTTTCTTGATCAGTTCCAGCATCACTTCACCATCGTTATAAGCAGGAGGAGATCATGAATTTTTTTT